TAATTGTACCTTTATCATCGTTAGAAATCAAAACAATAGAAACATATAAAAAGAAAAAAAATTGCTGCATATATATTATATACACATAGATGTAGATAATGAAACCTATAATTTCATATATAAATGGGATCATACCATATATATTTAAATATTGTTCAGCAATCTATATCTTCTACTTAATGTGTTATGAACATCTTCCATGCCAGTAGATAGAGCTCTTTCTTATTCCTTTTACAAGCTGTATACAAAAAATATTTATTGAATAAGTGACATATTAATGGTAATTTAAATTATTTTCTACTTTTTATGTTATTAGTACTGATATAATGTGGATCCTACTTCATAAAACATTTTGCACTGTGCAATTATTTCCTCAGGCTAAGGACTTTGAAGTGGAGTTTCTGTGCAAATGAGGTTACATATAATAAATTTTGATATATATATTGCACATCATCTTTCAGAAATACAGGATCAGTTTATAATTGTCCTAAACAGTGTTTGATAAGGAATATTTTCCACTACTCTTTACAACACTTGATAGTATACATGGTTTTAAATTTTGGTGATCTAAGCATGAAAAAGAGGTCTTTTAAATTTACGTTTTTCTGGTTGACATTGAGCCTCCTTTTAAATGTCGACTGATCATTTACATTTCTTGTCTTGTAAATTATTTAGTCATGAACTTTATCCATTTTCAATTTGGGAGTTGGTCTTTTCCTTCTGGATTTGAAAGAGCTTGTCATAAGTGAAAGACATTAAGTTTTTGTCTCTTAAACGTGTTATGAATAACTAACCTTCCCTCTTAGGGTAATTTTTAAACTTTTGTCATTTGATAAACAATCATTTTATATTTTTATTTGGTTAATTGGATGGATTGTTCTTTTCCTTTTTATATTTATGATTTTGGCATAGTCTAGTCCCTTTCTTCCAGTAGTACTTTAAAAACAATATTGAAATTTTTAATCCATCTGGAAGTTTTGGTATAGCATACATTTTTTTAAAATCTTCAATTTGTTAGGATATTGATCAAACATAATTTATTGATAATCTATCTCTCCTCATTGATTTTAGATGTCTTCAATATTTCAACTAAATAGCAAAAAAGTGCCAGACTCTCTCTCTCAATCTATATAGTTTAATTTAATCTTTACTACCACCCTGTAAGGTATAATTATCCCCATTTTGCAGATGAATTTACAGATGTTGAGAAAGTTGCCTAATATTTCCAATGTTTGGAGCTATTATAAATCATATTCGGAATGTGAACCTGTTGTCTGTCTGATTTCAAAATCTCTCATCCTCATTCACCATTATTCCTCCCCAAAGAAAGAGAAGGTGATTGGTTTTCATAAGAAACCCTGCTGATTTACTGCAGCATATCCTATATGGCATAATGTACAAGAGCACACTCTGTAGCCAAATGGCCTGGGTTTTAATGCCAGGAAAAACTGTGTACTACATACTTGACCTTTGGTAAGTTATTTAACGTCTCTGTACCTCAGTCTTATCATTTGTAAAATGGGGTTAATAACAGCGCTCACTTCATTGAGTGTCTGGCTCAAAGTAAGTACTATATGTGTGTAAGTACACATGTACACACATTATGTGGTGTGAAGATACAATGTTTAACTTTTACTTATTGAAAAATTCCTTCTTGAGGAACAAAAAAGGAAGAAGAAATATCGAGGGCTTTCTCTTTTTAGGCAGAAGAAAAATTCAC